ACCGATTAAATATAGATGATAATATATTCATTGGTGACCGTTATTAATTACTTCGTGACACCCTTTATACATTTTTCTCATTATTTTACATGATTTTCAGTGTCTACGAAAAAAAAAAAACTATTTTTGCTAACTAATGCCTAAATTGTTTTTTTATTTTATTTTTTCTTAGATGGAAATTTATTCTCCGCCACAGTAGCAGATTTTTCCAGTATGGACCCGATTATTTACAAAGAACAGTTACAGACCGAACAGTATGACTCATTGAGCCTGAATGGTAAGATCGATATTTCACTCTCATTAATATATATACAATAAATATTTGTCCTCATGTGTTATATTCTTAGTTATAGTATTCACGTATCGAACGAACAAGGACAGTATCTTAATTTCGTACGACACTGACAAATTGTCTTTTTTTTTCAGCTCCGCATTTCGTGCATTCATTTGCCCACGGCGATTTCGTCTACTTCTTCTTCAGAGAAACGGCTGTCGAATATATAAACTGCGGAAAAGTGAGTTATTACTATTTCTCTTTTTCCATACATTAGTCTAAATGCATCGAACCTACAGGAGCGGGGTACTGCTGACCCACGAAATGGGTTTTTTTTTTGTTTTTTTTTTTTACTCCATCGTTCGATTTTCGTGACAAATTACGGCAAACACGCGTGCCAGATGTTTGCCGACTTTATATCATGCTGCCTATTTCGATCACCGAACAATTTTATAATAATACGTCTTGGGATGGTTTATGCGGGGAAAAAAATCACAGAAAAAAAATATAACTGAGATTTTGAAGAAAAAAAGTTCCACGCACGAGTACGCGTAATTATTTAAAGCATATAGGTACCTTCTACTAACTGCACKGTCGTTCGGTGTGTTTCTAAAGTGTAATGATCGTCGTGAATTATATTAAGTTCAACGTTGTACTTTTGCCGTTCTTAAACGGAATAGTAGTTATGAACACCGCCGTAGGGGTTTGTCCGAAGTGGCGGAAAATTGGSATGGAAATTCAGTTTAAACGTCTTCAAACAGTGATACGACATGTTTTTGTCCCGGGCGTTGTACGAAAACACGATATTTCCATAAGTTTCATGCAGGGACCRAGTAGTATGAATCGATCGTCTGGAGGCTACATAATAAATGCATCTAACAATTTACCATGAATCCGCGGGCAGGATGTTACCCGACTCCATATATGCACAGTCAGTTACAGAAATCAATTATATTCGGAAAGTTACGGTTTCGGTTCGCGTTTTATTTTGCACCTTTATTAAATACCTAGCTACCTATTTTATGACGTAAATGTATTATAATATTAGGTGATAGATTGTAGTATAACTTTATGTGTGAATAATAATGTTATAAACTAATATGGTTTAGCAGATTATATTTATCCACAACAATATAATATTACGATATCTACTTATAGGCGATGATTGATGTCGATATAAAACTTTTAAACGTTGTATTGACATTTTTAATAGTCGTTTAAAATGTGGGAGGAATAATGAAATAAAGGTGTAACGTAATTTTCGGTCACGGGTTTGTTGTCATATTAAATTTTTAAACGACGATGACAGATCTGCATTGAAAAAAAGGTCGTAAGTTAACCCGATGTATTGAATAGTGTATTTAAAGGAATTAAGCATGGGAAAATCGTAAACATCAAGATGATTGAATACTTTAAAAATGTATATAACTTTCGTCTACACCAATAAAATTTCCTTAAAGTAGTATTTACATTCGAGTATAGTAAAATGTGTAAACATAATACTTGTTTTCTTAGAGTTCGATCATAAACAATTTTATAAATCTCATTACAGTAAGTAATTTATATAATTATTATTATCTACATCAAAWAAATAATTACATATAATTTATTTAATAACCGTTAAGCTGTTCTCATGTTTTAGCTTTTATTTCATTCTACTCGCCAAACTGAAATAAAGTGGGTTTGATATTATTTTTAAAAACTAAATTAACAACATATTATGTTATTCAAACTTTGAAGTTTTTATATTTGCCTCTAAAATAGATTAATCTGGACACACTATGAATATTTGTATAGATAGCTGCATATATAATATACTATGATTTTATAAATATATTTTTTGTGCAATATAATACTATGCTGCATACAAAAGAAGTCAACGGTTTTAAAGTTCCGGGTAAAGACAAACATAATGTGATCAAGGAATTTTTATTTTAAATATTATATATAATTTAAAATCGAATCATATAAATTTGACACATTTTTAAACATTTAAAACTCTAATCGGTCCTAGTAAATTTATTCAACAAATTCGGTTCACATTCACGTCACATGTCATCTACCAATACCAACAGTGATTAGATATGTGTAACTCCGTCCAAAGACCGACAACACTCTACTTGCTACATTTGCCGACGATACTGCTATCCTCTCAAGTAATAGTGACATAACTATAGCCGCGCAACACCTTCAARAACATTTAAATCTTATAGATAACTGGGCCAATAACTGGATGATTAGTATAAACGAGAGTAAATCTTCCCAAGTCACTTTCGCTCTACGCCCTGGCATTCGCCCTACCATCAAACTTAAAG